TTATTCCTTGAAAATTATCTTCCAAAATTTGTTTGCAGCTCCTAATTAATAAGACAAATTCTGGAATTTAAAAATGAAATATGTTTTTGTTATGTTTTTCGTCAGTTCCAACCCTGAGAACAAAAGTGAAGATGAATAACAATGCTATTGTTCTGTCACAGAGATGATGTATCTCAAATGCTGGGTCCCTTCCAAGGTGTTATTAAAGTTCTCTGAAGCGTTGCTACTAAAAAAAAAAAAAAAATGTCAAAAGATCTCATGTTATTTATTGTTTCTCAAAATCCACTGCTGCTTCAGATTATACCTAAGTTAACCCATCCATTTTATTTTGGAAATCATTGCAAAATGTTCTGATAAATGAACATAAAAGACATTACTAGATTCAGCTAATGAAAACTTGATTCCAAACTTTCGTGAATCTGACAAGGCCAAGGATATTAAAACAATGGTGTTATGTGAACAAAACTCAGACCCAATAGAATTTGTGAATTCTATTCACAGTATAGAATTTGTGACAAGTGGTGTTCTAGTCTTTATTAAGGGGGCAGGAAGCAGGGCCCAGGTTATATTTTGTGAAAATATTAGGTGAGCTCAGTATTTCTCTGAAATTATCAAACTTACTGACATCCAGTACTTTATTCTGTAAGGCAATAAATGAATACGGGAATGGATAGGAGAAATGTTATAGGTGGAAAGGAACACTAATAATAATAATAGTGGTAGAAATAATAATGAATACTTATTCCATGTTTAACTCTGGAGTCAAAGGTGCTAAAAATGTTACATGGAGTATGCCATTGAATCCTCACAAACAACTTTCTAAGGTAGGCAGCCTAAGCTGTCAGAGAATTATTTTAACTCAGTCTTGGTAATAGGATGAGCCCTTTATAGTAGATAAATCAGGTTCCCCCGTCTCTCATTTAAAAATGAATCTAAAATAATTTACTCGTGCTTATGAAAAAAAGCTCCGCAATCAATTGACCTCATGTAAATGTATATATGTTTTCTATGATTTGTAAAAAAGTATTAGTCCAGGTTCCTCAAGTTCCAGATGGATAAATCTAAGGCTCAGAGATTAAAGGGATTTATTAAGATCATGGTTGCCAGAGACACCTCTCTCCCAGTCTGTTGATACTTTTCCCACACACCATGACCTTACAATGCAGAGAAGGAAGCTATGTGCCATTACTCTGATTTCTAACACCCCATTCACAAACATGGTTCACTCCATACAAACAAGCTTTGGAATCTATACCATTAGATTAGGCTCATATGACTAAATATTAACCTCCAAATTGTTCATTGTGCTGTAACAAATGTCTTCTCAAGTTCATCACAACGCCTTGTAACTCAAAAGATCTATGTAATAAACTCCCAAATTCTCAAATATTAGATTTGAATGATATAAAAAATATACACAACACAAATTAATATGAATTGAGTCTTTCATCTCAATGCTGAATCTGTTTTTTCTTTTTAATAATGAACTATTCATCCACACTTAACACTTGATATCTGATAATTAAGGAAAGATGATGAAAAGGAACTTGAGTTTAAAGAAAGATGAAAACACAGGAATACACTATTGTAATTATTGGGAAAAGGCAATAGAGAGGGAGAGAGTAGAATATGTGAGGCATAGATGATCACTTAGAGAAGATGTAGAGGAAACCAAATGATGGGATCAAAGCTTGGTCAACTCATCTGGAAAGGTTTTGTTTTTTGCTTGTTTGTTTGAACTTAATCCTGAAATGTACCCCACATCTTTAAAATAAAATTTTTAAAAAGACTGCTGAATTGAAACTTGCCATCAATTACTACATCAGATGCCTCTCAGTGACATCTTTGCTTCTGGTGACCAACCCTTGTATTATTACAGACCATTTCAGTAGACTCAAGATGTAAATATTCTGAAGGCTAGGACAATGGTTTTCTGTTTCATTAATATGTCAAATTTCTCATGAAAGTGTTCTACCTCTAGTCATGCAATTAACCTGTGACTGATAACACAAAATGACAAAGATCCAGGTTTTATCAAAAGCATTACAGCTTAATCTATAAATGGTTTACTGCTATACAGCTACCTGATTAGCTCTAGATTTTTTTTTTTTTTTTGAGTTGGAGTCTCACTCAGTCGCCCAGACTGGAGTGTAGTGGCCACTCCCGGCCACCGCAGCCTCGACCTGCTGGGTTCCAGCGATCCTCCAGCCTCAGCCTTCCAAGTAGCTGGAACTACAGGCGTGCACTACTATGCCCGGCTAGCTCTAGATTTTTTTTATGGCGAACATGGAGGTTCATTGGTATTAAGTGTACAGACAAAATGGTCAAGTTAGAAAAGCATTCAGTGTTAGAATAAAAAATATCCTAAATTATTTTAAAATAGCATTTTTTTATCAAAGCCAACCAAAAAATTAGAGATTTCAGACAACATGGAATTATCTACAACAAGAATATCAATTACGTAGAAAATTCTGAATATCAAGGCCAAATTTATCAAGAAAAAAATTTAAGCCAGATTTTTCTTCCTTCCTTAGATATTTTAATAAACTTAAATTTGAAGTTTGGTGACATACTAATTCAGAAGAGTTCTTCATCTCATTACAACTCCACATCATAACTTTATTGACTATAGTTTCAATTTGGGGCAACTAAAACCTCACAAATGTTCCATTCTGGTAAACCCAGGTGACTAAGCAGAAATAAATATAAGGATGAACAGATTTCTAACCTTATTTTAACTAAAAATCCTGCCTATTACTTTATTTTTAAACTGCCACTAACATGTTTAAATGATAATTGCATCTTCTCAATGAGCCCAGTTCCTTATTATTGGAATTGGCAGGGGGCCTTGACATTTGAGTCATCATTTCATTATGTCTATTTCTTACCCTGGTATACAAATTAAATAGAAATACAAACCAAATGAAATAAAAGGGAAAACATATGAAGCAGTAACTTTTAAATGAATTAATTGTTCTCAAATCTGTAAAATATAAAAAGCAACAACACTGGAAATAATGTATCCTAGCTACATACTAGTTCAGGTACATTTTCAAAAATACTAACTTCAGTTCTAAAGGACAAACATGTTTCAAACCCTCCCAGCCAAATATTTCCCTTCTGGAAAACAGAACTGACAGTTTTAATATTCCCTAAATTTAAAAGGTAGAATAATTCCAGTTTTAAAGCAACTACAAATGTGGACAAAAATGTATATTTAAATAAGTTTCTTCCATTCTCAAGGATTTCAAAATAAGCAGCAATTGTTTTACATGTTATAATACACATATGTGAAAGATACCTAAAACATCATTGAAGCAGGGCATGGTGGCTCACTCCTATAATCCCAGTACTTTGAGAGACCAAGGTGAGAGAATTGTCTGAGCCCACGGGTTCAAGACCAGCCTGGGCAACTTGGCGAGACTTCATCTCTATAATAAATTAAAAAATTAACCAGGTGTGGTGGTGCATGCATATAGTGCCAGCTACTTGGAAGGCTAAAGCTGAAGGATCACCTGAGTCCAGTAGGTTGAGGCTGCGGTGACCATGAGTGTGCCACTGCACTTTAGCCTGGGTGACAAAATGAGACTTCGACTCAAAAAAAAAAACAAAACAAAACATTGTGTGATTGAATAATAATAATAATTCATTTAGATGAAAATTTTCACGTGCAAAATTAGAATGAAGATCCCCTTAGATATTTTCAAATCACTGAACTTATATGATAAAATCATTATATATATTTTTTTTCTAAATTACTTGATTTAGTTATATTGAATACGTGACATGGGCATCATTTCATCCTTTTCAATACTTTTTTAAAAATTTTCAACTTCAAAATTATAAAAAATTAATCAATCATAAAACTAACGTATAAAATCTTCAAAATACATCTTTGTCTCTGCTTTCAGGTGGCTGTTTCCTCATTTATGTATTATGGCAGGCACTCCAGAATGCATGTAGATTACTCATTAACCGAGTCTTTAATTACTTGTGAAACTCCTCCTTCTGCAAGTCCAGAACAACCTGTTCACTGCTAACATCTACTAGTTTCCCCAGAACGCTTAGAACTTTATTTCTCTGGTACAAAGACACACTACTGAAAACTGAATGACTGTCAATTCAAATGCCTATCCTGGAAATTAGCATTGTTTTTCCTTTTAATCACTGAAAGCATATTGCCAAACATAAAAATAATCTTGCCTTATTTTCTTTACATTTTATCATTTATTGTAATATTGACTTTTAAAAATATTTTATCTGAGGGAAAAAAATGTTCATTTAAACCCAACTATTCTAAGATTTATTTTTGGTTTCTTTTCATCAATTATTTATAATTTATAACCCAGATTTCCCAAGAGGGATTCAAAAAAGTCCACAAAAATATTCCAAGTATTCAGTGTGTTCTTTCAAGGAGTGAATATGTTCTAAAGAAATTAGTCTCTATTTTAATACTAAAATTTAATTAGAAAATAAGTCTGAGGCAGTCAATTTCTAATTTGGGGGAATACATTATTCTGAATATAAAGACAAAATAGGATACAAACTACATGTTCCTAGATTATGAAGTTTGGATGAGAACATATTCAAAGTGTAGCTAGCTTTTAGTATATATATTTATTTAAAGAGAAAGTGGTCAAACCCTACAGTGCTGAAATGCTGCTTTTCTCATAGTTTGACTTCGATCAGTGGAAATATTCGTGAATTTATATTATCAGGTTTTTAGTGAGTCCTATCATTTTTATAATTGCTGTGGCTAGTATTAATAAGTGCCTTCTTTTTATGTGCTGAAATAAATTAATGGACAAGGCAGACACTATGCAAAATGGCTGGGAATGGGGCCAAATCTTTTTACATACATCCAGGGACAAGTAATCTTCTAAATGGCACTTTAAGCTCTCTTGCCTAAATAATTACAAGTACAGCCAGCATGTAATTTACGGAATTAATTATCCACTCTTCTAGTTCCCATCACCCATCTCCAATCCATGACCACTTACCTTGTCTTGATTTTCAGTGCCAGAAGCCTCAGGCTTGGTTCTAATCACAAACGGGGTAGACAGTCGCAGCAGGACCCTTTCGAAGGTGGCATTAACCTTTGGAGAGACAATCTCAAAGCAGTCCTCAAACTTGAGCACTTTGTGAGCGTCACACCGGAGCTGCTTCCTTAGGCCTTCCCCCAGCTGAAGGACCGACATGTTGGGGTCAAACATCAAGTGAAAGGGAAAGGCTCTGCAGAAGGTGTTGATGCTGATTCTGAGGTCTGCAGGAACGTGGGAGGTTCCCCGTGGAAGGTTCTTTGTGATGTTAGTATTTTCACATTCTTTAATAAGGAAAGTAAGACAGCTACAATTGCCTGGGTTCGAACCATCGGAGCACAGCTTCTCATTTGCAACCTGTTCCACTTCCACATCCAGCCGATAGATCTTCTTTCCTGCTGCCTTAATCATCCCCAGCATTGCAAACCCCACAATATGGTGAGGGTGAAAGTAGTGGAGCATGAGAGTACCTTCAGGGAGCTCTTTGCATAGGAAAGATGGTGACTCCAGGGTGGCCTGTTTTCCAAAGGAAGTTCTAATGTGTTCCAACAAAGCATCAAAGCCGTTAAAAAAGTCCTGCAACGTGCCACCTACAGCCCGAAGGACTCGCTCATTCTCATCAAAGCATATATTAAAGAACTCCTCACCAAATCTTTCTTGAATCTCCTCAAACTTCAAACCTAAAGGTAAATGGGAAGCAAGTGTTAGTGAAGTGGAATATACATAAACGAACTTACAGCTTTCTAAAATGTGTATTGAAAGAGACAGCTAATGACCTTGGACCCACAAATTTCCCACATGGGTTAATTCAATCATCTTGAGTCAGAGCAAGTAAATTTCAGTTCATTTTCTGGATGCTTCTACGATGTTAATGAGCATGAACCTTTTTGTTTGTTTGTTTGTTTTAGACCAATTTTAGGTTCACAGTAAAATTTAGCAGAAGGCACTGAGATGTCCCATGTGCTCTCTACCCCTACGCATGCACAGTCTCCCCCATTATCATTGTCTTGCAAACAATGAACCTATACTGATACATTATCATCACCCAAAATCCATCGTTTTCATTAGGGTTCATTCTTGATGTTGTATATTCTATGGGTTGAACAAAAGTATAATGACATGTATACACTATTATCGCATCACACAGAGTTATTTTCAATGCCCTAAACATCCTCTGTGCTTGGCCTATCCATCCTTTCCTTCCTGCTAGCTCCCAGAGCACCAGTTTTAAAATGCTGCTAAACTAGCTGTTCACTTTTCAATATCTTATTTAGCTTACTATAGTTACCACAGATATTTTTCTTCATCTTAATGATTTCCTCAGTCTTCATAGACTATCCAAGTTGACTATATATTATGTCCACATACCATCCGTATGACCATCTTATTTTTCATCAAAGTGCATGTACTAAGTGGAAAGTATCAACCAGAGAGAAAAATCTATGGCACAAGAGTGGGAGAGGCATCAAACTATCTAGTGAAAACAGAGGGCTTATGTCAGCAAACTCAGGGAAAGTCATGCAGGTCAGCAAGACCTCAGGGAAAAGAAACAAAATGAGAAATTAATAGAATCATAGAATGATTTGCATTCTTTCACCCACAAAAGTGAAGGCAGCCAAGATTGGAGCAGTAATCTGGCCAGATAGAGTTAAAAGACTTTGTTAAGTTTTCTCAGCATATAATCATTCCCCGATGCCCTGGCAAAAGGAACTCTGCCTTATAGTACATTACATAGTCATTAGAAGCAGGATCCCATGCAATTTAACAAGATCCACCCTTGAGGATGATCTGAGGGTGTATATGGAGGGAATTTATGATCCAAAGAGGACTACAATACATATCAAATAGAGATGAGTCTGCAGACTAAAGACTGCTGCTATCTAGAGCTCAGTCATTCTATGCCTCTTCTTTGACGGTGGTTGAAATCCATACATGTAGTTTACATATTCATATTTTCTTGTCCAATTTACTCCATCACATAAGGAAGCCCCACAAATCAGGAAGACTGGGAAAGGACAGAGGGCAATTTGTTAGAGTCACATGAGAATGCAGAGCAATCTAGGCTGTCCACGGCTTGGTTTACTGATCCTCCTTGACCATCCCTTGAATAGTTTCCCCCAACTAGAAGTGAGGTAAAGAACAGAGACAATAATATTATTTTTAAAATAGACCCAAAGCACACCAAATATTTCTGAGAGCTTGCGACAGAGTCTATAAATTGTAGTAGACAAATTGAGAAGTCAGTTTGACAAAGCACTTAAAATCAATGTGAGATGAAAACGAACAGAAAACCTAAGTGAGAAAGAGTCCCTTTATTAAGAAGCATTTTATACTAATTTTTTTATGTTCAAGGCTAGCTAAGAAAGTCACCTATTAAGAGAAAAACCTCACCACTCATCGCACATTGCCATGTTACAAAATTGCTCTTCAATGTATGCTGCTTTCACTAACAATAATGCCAGTCGGAACTGATAATAATAGCATTTACTTGTCCAGTTCTCTGGTGTGGAGCAGAGAAAACAAGATAGATGATCTTCACAGCAATTCAGTTCCCGCTCTGACTGCTTTCTTGGAACTGCTTTCATAAATACTGAAACCAACACATACTGTTTTGCCCTTATCTTCCTTAATCCTGTTTGCTGTTTTTCCTTTAGTACAACACTATTGATCATCTCTTCCTCTTAAAGCTTTTGGCTCATCAAACCATACTCCCCTGGTGTGATTACTATCTGCCTGAAAATTTATCCTCACTTCTTTCACTAAAATTGATTTCTATGCCAAATCCTTACATCATCATCACTATGTTGTAACTAAAAAACTCTAACATATACAAATTAAATTCATATGTCCGCATTCAATGACAGCGTACTTTGTTGCTATAAAAATGTCCAATTCTGAAATTCTTATTAAAAACCAAATGCTGGATAAATAAAAATTCATATAATCTGACTATATTTACTGAACTACAATATCCCATGTGCACTAAAAATATTCCATGGATTGCTTCTTAGCTTTGAAGAGATATACCTCAGAGGACTTAGGGTCTACATGAACAGAAGAAAAAAAGAATTGCTTCTAACTTGCATTTTTTATAACACTGAAAATGCCCTTGCAGTTATTAAAAACACAAAGTTCACCAGAAATAACAAAATAAAAATTACTCTGTGTACAACATTCTATCAACTAGAAATCCTTGCTGCTTTAAAAAAAAAAAAAATCACTGTACTTTAACACACAACGACTGTTAATTTTCAAATGGTGATGCTAAGGAACACTTTAGCATCACTAAAGAAAAACTGAATTGTTTTGAATATTATACTATAAGTGATAATTCTATATAAAACACAATATACAACTAATAAAGATTTTTATTCCTACAACTATGAAACTTCACAAGATTAGAAAAGAAGGGAAAAATTCCTAGACTCAAAAAATTTAAAACTAAGAAAATGCACTTCCACATTTGTGAATATACTAAAAATCAACAGGCAAGACTTCCATTTTAAGCCTTATCTCAAAATTCAGAAAGCACAGACAGTAATTCAGCTCAGACAATTGATGCGCTCTGACTCCCAAGGTTCCACCTACGATTGACGCAAACCCCCTACTTACAGTAAATCACTTGAAACATATAGACAATGCTCATCTCCTCACATCACAAGATTCTATGACAGCTTGACATTTGGGTCTATAAGAATACATTTCCTCAAGGGGTAAAATTTATAACTAAACTGCTCTTATTAATGGGTAAGTTAAGTTAGAATTTTAAATTGCTATTAATTCACCTCTTTAAAAGGGTGAACAGCCTAAATGCTGACATCCTCTAGCATAAATGAAATAGAATCTGTTTCTTCACGACATGGTCCTGTTGTCTCTCATCTGCCATCCCATCTCATCTCAGATTGTGAATTTCTTGAGGACAAGGACCTTGCCCTGTTTATGTCTGCATATCTATCACTAGTATAATGCCTGGCACATGGAGAAGCACCACTCTTCCACAAAAACTAAGCATTCATCTATGTTTGAGAAACATATACTTTTAAGAGTTACAGTTGTGACTGGGTGAGGTGGCTCAGTATGTAATCCCAGCACTTTGGGAAGCCAAGGCAAAAGAACTGCCTGAGCCCGGGGGTTCAAGACCAGCCTGGGCAACTTGGTGAGACCTCGACTCTACAATAAATCACAAAAACTAGCCAGGCGTGGTGGTATGCATCTGTAGTTCCAGCTACCTGGAAGACTGAGGCAGAAGGTTCTCCTGAGCCCAGCAGGTCGAGGATGCAGTGGCCATGAAAGCATGCCCCTGCACTCCGGCTTGGGTGACAAGAGTGAGACTCCAAGTTAAAAAAAAAAAAAAAAAAAGCAGTTGTGCCACATCTAATGATACTAAGACAAAAAAAACATTCTTTTCTCTCATGGGCCCCTTAAGATCATGAAATTACATTGTGATTGTGCTGTAATAGAGACACACAAGAGGACCTATGAAGGTACAGAAAAGAGAGTGACTGCCTCTTGTTGGGAAGATAATGTTTGAAAGGAGACTTGAAGAAAAAAGCAAGTTTTCAAAAATCCAACAAAGAAGGGAAGAGCACCCAAGCAGATGAATAGTAATGTAGTATGGTTGAAGTAGGAGGTAAGGGAACATCCAGTATGACCAGGGAAGAGCAAGTGGTAATGGTACACGGGTCGGAAAGTGGGAGTCGGGGTGGGGTGTTAATTCACCAGGATTGCAGAAGCTGGACTTAAGATTGCCAAGGCCAGAATCAGAGACCAGTTAGAGAGATGTTGCAGTGTCTTTAAAGGAAGAGTATATTGACTGAATTAGGCTGTCCCAGTAAGAACTAAAAAAAGAGGACCAAGCAGAGTGCTAATTACTTCCACAGGTTAGTTAATCCTTAAAAAAAAAAAAAAAAAATTCCTGTGCAGGTATTTTCTTTTTTTTTTGTTATACATATTTTTTATTTTAAATTGTGGAGTACAGTTAAGGGTTAGATATACAAATATGCATTGTGCAGGTACCCTTGTTGATAAGGTGTGCCCCCTCCCCATCCCCAGACAGATATTTACTATTTACTATCGTTAACCCCACCTCCCTTTCCCTCCCTGCACCCCCCCCATAGTTTCCCACCACTGTCAATCCTTTTCTTATAGTATTTCTTATAGTTGGTCAAGGTCCACTTATGAGTGAGAACATGTGATACTCAGATCTTTGTTTCTGTGAGAGATCACTCAGTATTATAAACTCCAATTCCATCCAGGTTGCTGCAAAATTCATGATTTTATTCTTTTTTATGGCTGCGTAATATTCCATTGTGTATATGTACCACATTTTTTAAATCCAGTCCTCTTTTGATGGACAGCATGGTTGGTTCCATGATCTTGCTATTGTGAACAATGCTGCAATAAACATACGTGTGCAGGTATCTTTTTTATAGAGTGATTTAAGTTCTTCAGAGTATATTCCCAGTAGGGGGATTGTGGGGTCATATGGAAGATCGATTTTTAAAGCTTTTAGGAATGCCACACTGATTTCCACAGAGGCTGAACTAGTTTACACTCCCACCAAGAGTGTAGAAGTGTTCCCTTTTCACCACATCTTCTCCAGCATCTGTTATTTTTTGAGTTATTGATAATGGCCATTCTGACAGAAAAAAACAAAGCAGGAGGTATCACACTACCAGAC